TTGAGGCAGGAGAATTGCTTGAGTTGGGGAGGTGGAGGATGCAGTGAGCTGAGATTGCATCACTGCATTCTAGCATGGGAGGGAACACCTCAAAAAAAACGAAAAACAAAAACTTGTAACAATTTTTATTAAATTTGTTTTAAAATGATAAAGTTTCTACTTAGCTTTTATTTTTGCCTTGTAATATTCAAATGAGTACTTTATCTTAAAAGCATTTTATTTTCAGCGTTTTGGTTAGAGGAGTTACATTGAAAAAGCATTTTTTAATATTCTTTCTTTCTTAAAGTTTTTTTAATTATGAGAAACTTCAGACTTAGAAACTGAGCTGATAGCATATTAAACACCTAAGACCCTGGCACGTAAATTGAACAGTCATTAAGATTTTGTTCCATTTTTTTCTTTTTTGCAACTGTACCGTATCTCTGGCATATTATTTCTTCCTTACATATTTCCATATACATCACTGTCCTAATTGGCTTAGGCTGCCATAACAAAATACCATAGACGGGGTGGCTTGAAACAACAAACATTATTTCTCACAGTGCTGGAGGCTGGATGTCTGAGATCAGGCTGCCAGCACGGTCCGGTTCCAGGACCTCTCCTTGGTTTGCATATGGCTGCTGTCTCACTGTGCCATCGCGATCAGGAGCATTAGTAATTCTAGCACTTTAAGAGGCCAAGGCGGGTGGATCACCTGATGTCAGGAGTTTGAGACCAGCCTGACCAACATGGTGAAACCTCATCACTACTGAAAATACAAAAATTATGTGAATGTGCTGGTGAATGTCTTTAATCCCAGCTACTTAGGAGGCTGAGGCAGGGGAATTGCTTGAACCTGGGAGGCGGAGGTTGCAGTGAGTTGAGATCATGCTACTTCACTCTAGCCTGGGCGAAATAGTGAAACTCTGTCTTTAAAAGAAAGAAAAAATCCCGTCATGAGCCCTACCATCATTGATGCCTTCCTCTAACCCTAATTACCTGCCAGAGGCCCTACCTGCAAATATCATCACATTGGAGATCAGGGCTTCAACATACGAATTTTGGGGGACACAATTCAGCCCATAGCAGTCATGCATTTATCACATAATCATAATGCATTATCACACCCAACAAAATTAACATAATTTTTCTGTTGTCATCTAAAACTCATTCCAGGCCAGGCATGGTGGCTCATCCCTGTAATCCTAGCACTTTGGGAGACCGAAGTGGGTCAGGAGTTTGAGACCAGCATGGCCAACATGGTGAAACTACATCTTTACTAAAAATACAAATATTAGCTGGGCATGGTGGTAGGTGCTGGTAATCCTAGCTACTTGGGAGGCTAAGGCAGGAGAATTGATTGAACCCAGGAGGCAGAGGTTGCAGTGAGCCGAGATGGCACTACTGCACTTCCGCCTGGGTGACAGAGTGAGACTCTGAAAAAAACAAAGTACAAAAACAAAATCCATATTCACATTTCCACAGTCACGTTAGGGAATGCCTTTTTACAGCTGATTTATTAGAATTGGGAACTCAGAATATGTTAAATTTGTTAAGCTTTTTAAATCTGGAAATGGTTTTAAAAGTAGTGTAGTAAGACAACATACTCTGCGCAACCAACGTGTAGTATGAAAAAATAATTTAGAGGAGAGACGGCTATAGAATTAAATTTACTTATAACAAATGTAATGAGAACTTTTTCTTTGGTTTTCAGTCCTAACAAATCAACTGTAAAAAGATGGAAATCTCCTAAGTTCTGTATAACTCCTGTATGCTGGAAAACTGGTACATATAAATGTTTGAGTTGTAAATTAAAAAAATAACATCTTGAAAGTATTTTCATTAAAGGTTTTATATTTCTAACAAATTATAGTGGTATTCTAAAACAGTCCTAACAAACTAAAGAAAAGTTTGAGTAAATATATTATTAAAAGTCAAGTCACCATTTTGTGATACAGATTTGCAAACTTTTCCAAAGCAGAATTTATCGTAATAGTTTAGTAAAACGTTGTAAAGAAAAGAACATCACTAAGGTAGTTTTTGTCTGTGTGTTTTCTATTAACTATAGTGAATATTTGATGTGAAATGCCATTCAGATATGAATTTAACCAGTAGGTGGCAACAAATCAATATTGGAATTTATTTTTAAGAAAAGTTCAAGAAAAATACTCTAAATCATAAACAAGATAATATTTGACTTTTTTCCACAAATAAACATTTTGTGCTTTTGGCCTTAGTAAATATTTTTAATTTGAAAATTTGGTATATATTTTGTTTTTATATGATACGTGAAGTTCATTCTTTTTTTTTTTAAAGACAGTCTTGCTCTGTCACCCGGGTTGGAGTGCAGTGGTGCCATCTCACTGCGGCTTTCGCCTCCTAGGCTCAGTCAAGCCTCCCACCTCAGCCTTTCCAGTGGCTGGGACTAGAGGCATGCACCATCATGACTAATTTTCAGTTTTTTTTTTTTTGGGTAGAAATGAAGTCTCACTATATTGCCCAGGATGGTCTGGAACTCCTGGGCTCAAGCAATTCTCCTTCCTCTGACTCCCAAAATGCTGGGATTATAGGTATTAGCTACTACATCCGGCCCAAGGTTCATTTTAAAGCTATGAGTTGATTTTTGATAATTGAATTATTTGCTCATAGTTCTTTTTTTTTTTTTTGAGACGGAGTTTCGCTCTTGTTACCCAGGCTGGGGTGCAATGGCACGATCTCAGCTCACTGCAACCTCCGCCTCCTGGGTTCAGGCAATTCTCCTGCCTCAGCCTCCTGAGTAGCTGGGATTACAGGCACACGCCACCATGCCCAGCTAATTTTTGTATTTTTAGTAGAGACGGGGTTTCACCATGTTGACCAGGATGGTCTCGATCTCTTGACCTCATGATCCACCCGCCTCGGCCTCCCAAAGTGCTGGGATTACAGGCTTGAGCCACCGCACCCGGCCCTGCTCATAGTTCTTTAAAAAACTGAGTGATACGTTGTTTGCTTTATTATCTTGTGACTATAAATAATCAGACATGGAATGGGGAATTTTTTGTCTTCCTTTATTCGATTTGATAAGAGCCAAGTGAGGTGGCTCATGCCTATAATCCCAGCACTTTGGGAGGCTGAGGCGGGTGAATCATGAGGTCAGGATATTGAGACCATCCTGGCCAAGATGGTGAAACCCTGTCTCTACAAAAATGCAAATAATGTCCTGGCATGGTGGCATGTGCCTGTAGTCTCACCTACTGGGGAGGCTGAGGTAGGGGAATCACTTGAGCCTGGGAGGCGGAGGTTGAAGTAAGCTGAGATTGCACAGTGCACTCTAGCCTGGTGACAGAATGAGATTCCATCTCAAAAAAAAAAAAAGTTTAATAATTATTTGATAATAAATAGTCTTAGTTATGTTTTTGAGATGTGGCCTTGCTCTTGTTGCCCAGACTGGAGTGTAGTGGTGCCATCTTAGCTTACTGCAGCTTTCACCTCTTGGGTCCAAGTGATTCTTCTGCCCCAGCCTCCCGAGTAGCTGGGTTTGCAGGCACCTGTCACCAAGCCTAGCTAATTTTTTAATTTTTGGTAGAGAGGGGGTTTTACCATGTTGGCCAGGCTGGTTTTGAACTCATGACTTCAAGTGATCCACCTACCTTGGCCTCCCAAGGTGGGATTACAGGCATGAACCACTACACCCGGCCAATAAATAGTGTTATTTAAGTTAGTAATTTATTTTTTGGAGGCCAAGTCTCACTCTGTCTCCCATGCTGGAAGGCTGGAGTGCAATGGTAGGATCTCGGCTGACTGCAACCTCAGCCTCCCAGGTTCAAGCGATTCTCCTGTCTCAGCCTCCTGGGTAGTTGGGATTACAGGTGTGTACCACCACACCTGGCTATTTTTTTTTTTTTGCATTTTTAGTAGAGACTGGGTTTTGCCATGTTTGCTAGTGATCCACCCACCTCAGCCTCCCAAAGTGCTGGGATTACAGATGTGAGCCACTGTGCCTGGCCAAACTTTATATGTATTTTAAAACTGGAAACATTATAGCACTGTGATATAAAAGATTGGAAGAAATCAGTGTATATTTATGTGTTATAATGGTATAAATGCAGTAGATTAGTATTTATTTATTTATTTATTTATTTATGAGACAGAGTTTCGCACTTGTTACCCAGGCTGGAGTGCAATGGCATGGTCTCGGCTCATCACAACCTCTGCTTTCTGGGTTCAAGCAATTCTCCTGCCTCAGCCTCCCGAGTATCTGGGACTACAGGCAAGCACCACCATGCCCAGCTAATTTTTGTATTTTAATAGAGACGGGGTTTCATCTTGTTGATCAGGATGGTCTCGATCTCTTGACCTCGTGATCCACCCGCCTTGGCCTCCCAAAGTGCTGGGATTATAGGCGTGAGCCACCGCGCCTGGTGATTAGTTAGTATTTATATCAGTTATATAGCTTTAAGCTAGAATGTCTGATAAATGATACATAAAGCATGAGATACTGTTTTTAAACATTTTTAAACAGCTCATTACTAAAAATTGTTAATAAATGTATATGTGTATTCTCTTCTCTCTCTGTCTTCCTCCCTCATAAAACTGTACAAAATGGATTAGCAGGGAGCAGAAAATAACTACTGCTAGAAAGTAGGAGAGAGATTGGTTCTCAGGATGTATTTTTCATGAAAAAATGTAGCTATTTTTTGTAATAGCAGTTTTCATTTCTGAGGGATGGTAATAAAAATTGTTTGAATTAAAAATACTGTATGCCATTGAACATAATCCTGAGCAGAGCAGCTGGTGATTACTAAACATTATTTGTCACTTCAGATTATAAATTTTGAAGGTCTTTGTTTTATATATTATTTGTATACACAAACTTCTAAATGTTATTACTTAATATTTGTTATACTAAACATTTCTGGGTATTTTCCAAACCATAGTCTTACAATTTCTGATGAAAATTTTATACAATTTAGATAGTTTCATAGTTTTAGGCTTTTTGGTTGTGTATAAATGTATGTATGTGTGTGTATACATATATATGAATATTACTCCAAAACGTCATGAATTTGTCAGTTATCCTTGGACAGGGGCCATGCTGATCTTTATTGTTCCAATTTTAGTAAATATGCTGCCAAAGAAAGCACTTATTTTTTTATTTGTTTTTTTCTTTTTTGAGATGTAGTCTTACTCTGTTGCCCAGTCTGGAGTGTGTTGGCACAATCTCTGCTCACTGCAGACTCTGTCTCCCACATTCAAGCGATTCTCCTGCCTCAGTCTCTCTAGTAGCTGGGATTACAGGTGCCTACCACCACACCCGGCTATTTTTAATAGAGATGCGGTTTCACTGTGTTGGCCAGTCTGGTCTTGAACTCCTGACCTCAGGTCATCTACCCACATTGGCCTCCCAAAGTACTGGGATTATAGGCATGAAACTCTGGGCCTGGCCTGTGAAGTGAGCACTTCGTTTTTTAAATGCCACTCTGTGGATATCTTTTCTCCCCTTTATAGGTATCTTTTGTGCAGTTAGTTTTAAGGTTAGGAAGAATAAATTATGAGCACTGCTAGTTTCTATCATTATTTTCAGATTGTCTTTTAAAAAGAGCAACCAGGTTTACAGTTCTGTTGATTTTGTATGTGTACTTGTTTTGCTTCAACCTCATTAACTTTTGGCTTCACATTTTGTTTAGTCTTTTGAGTGCACATATGCAGGTGGCGGTGAGGAACATAACATTTCCCTTGTTGATGATATGTTATATGGGAAGCTGTGTTTTTCTTGGTGCTTTAGAATATCGACTTTTATCAATTGCTCTTATTTTGTTGGTGTCACTAAGGTTGGTCCTCTTTTGCCTGCCTTGGGCCTTTGTGCTGCTGGCTTTCCCCACACTTCATCTGGTTGGCGTGTGTTCTTCCTTTTTTTTCCTTTTTTTTTTTGAGACGGAGTTTCGCTCTTGTTACCCAGGCTGGAGTGCAATGGCGCGATCTCGGCTCACCGCAACCTCCGCCTCCTGGGTTCAGGCAATTCTCCTGCCTCAGCCTCCTGAGTAGCTGGGATTACAGGCACGCGCCACCATGCCCAGCTAATTTTTTGTATTTTTAGTAGAGACGGGATTTCACCATGTTGACCAGGATGGTCTTGATCTCTTGACCTCGTGATCCACCCGCCTCGGCCTCCCAAAGTGCTGGGATTACAGGCTTGAGCCACTGCGCCCGGCCTTCCCTTTTTCTTTTCTATTTTCTTTTAGAGATGGGGCTTTACCCCCTTGGCCAGGCTGAGACTTCTGGCCTCATTGATTGGCCTGCCTTGGCCTCCCAAAGTGCTGGGATTACAGGTGTGAGCCGCCCGGCCAAGGTACGTGTTCTTCCTTCGGTCATCAGCTTTGATATCATGCCTTGGAGACTTTCATGGCCATTCCAGCTGCAGTTTCTCCTAAGTTCGTATTCCCTTGGAGATACTTTCTTTTCCTTTAGCACTTATTTACTGCAACTTTCCATATGCTTTTTGTGCTGTTTACTAGGTTTTCTGCTAGACTTCAGTCACAACAAGGTTTCACCATGTTGGCCAGGCTGGTCTCAAAATCCTGACCTCGGGTCATCTGCTTGCCTCAGCCTCCCAAAGTCCTGGGATTACAGGCGTGAGCCACCACACTTGTCCATTAATGCCTTTTTTTAAAGTGGAAAATTTAGTTTTAAACTATAGTGTATTTTAAAAATTTAGGATGAATATTCAATAATTACTGTTTAATTTTTTTAGTATTTTTTTCAAATGTGTGTGAATTTTAGTATCAGAAGGCCAAGTTATAGAAAATATTTTATGTGATTACTGCATGGTATTTCCTTTAATCTCTATAGGATTGTCATTTTTACATTTTGCTACATTTTGTATTTTAGAGTTAATAGTAATCAGCTGGTATTTTGTTTGCCATCACCTTTTTTTTTTTTTTTTTTTAAGATGGAATCTCACTCTGTTGCCCAGGCTGGAGTGCAGTGGCACAATCCTGGTTCACTGCAACCTCATCCTCCTGGGTTCAAGTGCGAAAATGCTCATTATTTGGGGTCTTTTGCTTATACCTTGAATTTTTTTTTTTTGAGGGATGGAGTTTTGCTATTGTTGCCCAGGCTGGAGTTCAATGGCGTGGTCTTGCTCACTGCAACGTTTTGCTTCCTTGGTTCAAGCAATTCTCCTGGCTCAGCCTCCCGAGTAGCTGGGATTACAGGTGCCTGCCACCACGCCTGGCTAGTTTTTTGTATTTTTAGTAGAGACAGGGTTTCACCGTGTTGGTTAGGCTGGTCTTGAACTGACCTCAGGTGATCCACTCACCTCGGCCTCCCAAACTGCTGTGATTACAGGTATGAGCCACCATACCCAGCCACCTTGAACTCTTTGGAGTGCGGTGGTCCTGTAGTCACAGCATGCATTATACTTTTAGTGGGAGAGAAATTTGAAGGTAAGGTTGAAAATCATAGTGTTTCTGTACCTCTAGCTGTTCTTTTGAAGCATTCAAGTAATTCTGGGCATTGAATGGATGTTAGGACTTACGAGGGTAATTAGTAAGTGGCATACATGCAGAGAGACTTGAATGTCATAATTGATAGTACTTAGAAGGCCATTCATGATCTTGCCAATTACTCACTGTGTAATGTTGGGCAAATCAATGCACTTTTCTGAGCCTTGTCCATGAAAAAAGAGAAAGTAAACTTATCATAGCTATTTCTTAGGATTACTGCTGTATAAGGAATGGAAAAGATAATGTACTTCAAAGCAATAAGAAGTAGTTCTTTGTACTATGGTTTTCTGCAGCTTTGTTTCAAATTTAAAAAAGTCATTCTGGCTACTATATGGGGAATGGATTATAGAGTGGCAAGAGTGAAAGCTAGGAGGCTAGAGAGCATGCTGTTGCAGTGGCTGGTGGGTTGTAACGTGACTTGGCCAGGTGGTTGTAGTTGAGGAGAAGAGGTCAGATTAAGGACTTACTTTGAATATAGAGCTGATTGGGTTTAATGGTACGGTATGAGGTAAGAAGAAACTCAAGGATAAGTTTAAAAAGGTTTTTGTTTAAAAATTTTTTTTTGTTTTTTAAACATTTATTTTAATTTTTGTATTTTCCTTTTTTACAAACCCTTGTGTCAAGGGCTGACTTTCAATAGATTGCAGTGAGGGAGCTGCTCTGCTACCTACGAAACTAGAAGGGGGTCATCTATGAATGGTTTGGTGCCAGGGTCCCCATGAACTTGTGTTGTGAGACGGGTGAGGGGGTGGCCGTCTTTCTGGCCGTACCCAGTTTCTCAGGATGAGGGGCTCTCCGCACCAGACCTGTGCCCTGTGCGTGGTGGGGCGGAGTGTCCCGCTGGTGGGGAACCCACCAGCCAACTGAGGTGGTGCTGCCGTGTTTTTCCACCTGGGCGAGATTAGGGGACTTCAGATGTAGTTCCACAGATGGTAGCTTCACCCTGTTGGCTCCTCAGCCAAGTACATACACCAAGACATTTTTTTGTTGTTTTTGGGAGACAGTCTTGTTCTCCAGGCTGGAGTGCAGTGGTACAATCTAGGCTCACTGCACACTCGACCTCCTAGGCTCAGGTGATCCCCCTGCTTCAGGATCTAACTTTTTGTAGAGAAGAGGTCTCACTGTGTTGTCCAGACTTGTCTTGAACTCCTGGACTCCAGCAGTCGTCCTGCCTCAGTCTCCTAAAGTGCTGGAATTACAAGTCTGTGAGTCACTGTATCCAGTTGACCACCTTCTTCTTCTTTTTTTTTTGAGACGGATTTTCGCTCTTGTTACCCAGGCTGGAGTGCAGTGGCGCGATCTCGGCTCATTGCAACCTTCGCCTCCTGGGTTCGGGCAATTCTCCTGCCTCAGCCTCCTGAGTAGCTGGGATTACAGGCACACACCACCATGCCCAGCTAATTTTTTGTATTTTTAGTAGAGATGGGGTTTCACCATGTTGACCAGGATGGTCTCGACCTCTTGACCTCGTGATCCACCTGCCTTGGCCTCCCAAAGTGTTGGGATTACAGGCGTGAGCCACTGCGCCTGGCCTCTTTTTTTTTTTTTTTTTTTTTTTTAAAGGCTTGAGAGACTAGGGGAAAATGATGCCATTAAGTAATGGAATTCATTTTTTAAAAAGTAGAGTTTGTCAAAAGACTTGGTTTCTAGTCTTAGTTCCTTATTAGGATGGCATGAACTTCACATTTCTGTCTCTTGTTGCTTCATGTGAACTGCATGGCATTTACAGAGGGATCATCAGGCTTCCTTAGTCATATATACCAGCTCTTGATTTCATGAAGGCATGTAATAATCTTGTTAAAGAGCTGGAGAAATGTGTTTTATGTAATTGTATGCCAAGGTTGTTTTTTAATTTTTTTGAGATGGAGTCTTGCTCCATTGCTGAGGCTGGAGTGCAGTGGGATGATCTGGGCTCACTGCCTCCTCCATCTGCCAGGTTTAAGTAATTATTCTGCCTCAGCCTCCTGAGTAGCTGGGACTACAGGCGAGTGCCACCATTCCCAGGTAAGGTCTTGTATTTTTAGTAGAGACTGGGTTTCACCGCGCTGGCCGAGCTGGTGTTGAACTCCTGACCTTGTGATTTGCCTGCCTTTGCCTCCCAAAGTACTGGGATTATAGGCGTGAGCCACTCCGCCCGGCCATGCCTAGGTATTTTAACACCCCTTCTCCAAAAACATAGCCACTAGTTTCAGAGGCACTCTTTAGTGGTGGGGTGAAATACTTTCTTTGATTCCGTTTTGTTAAATGTTTTCTTCATTGACTTGTGTGAAGACTTAGATAATTTGATTATTAGTATGTGTAAGGATGTTGACTCCTACCTTTTCAGGGGAGAATGCAGTTGGGATTTATAAAAGCTTGCTTGAATGAAACTGGTTCTTAAGTGATTATTAAGAATGAATGGCTCCAGTTGACTTCCTAATGTACCTTCTGCAATGGACTTGGTGGATTTTACAATAGGAAAAGTAGAATTATTGAGTATTAATGGCAACAGATTTTTTTTTTTTTTTTTTTTTTAGACGGAGTCTCGCTCTGTCACTCAGCCTGGAGTGCAGTGGTGCAATCTCTGCTCACTGCAACCTCCACCTTCCAGGCTCAAGCGATTATCTTGCCTCAGTCCCCAGAGAAGCTGGGATTACAGG